GCAAGTGTTAGGGTATGAAACAAAAAACAAACCAATGCCGGACACAAACACCGTTATAGAGAGTTCTCACCTCGGATCACTCTGATGGCTATTTGGACTTCTGAAAAACTAGTCTTATTTACTCAAGCTTGTATCTATTGGCCGACTAAAGAAGCATCACTCTGTGCGCCAAAGAACAGTAAACTGAATCGGCTTGTGTTTGCTTGCACATGTTTACCTACATCCGTAGCCCGTGTAAGCCCAGCTTCGTTCAGTAAACGCGTAACAATCACCACAAATCGTGAGTGCCACTCATTCGACAGCACATTCAACTTGGACTCCAACTTATATTACCACCATCACGCATAGTACCACTTGCCAAGAAAAGGTAAACATATTTGACTAGCATCGGAGGTGAATGTATTGCAGCAACATCAAGGGTGCTGAAATTCGACAATAATCCTTCATTCGTCCAGTCGTTTGGACGAGTGTTTGTCATCTGGGTTACTAAAAATACACAGAATGTGAGTGTTCTGTTACAAATTTCAGTCTTGAACAAACGAACACACCTTGAGAACACCTAAATCACTTCCCGCATGTTTTTTCAGTCATTCCTGAATAACGACTAATGAGTGCTTGGATACTATCAACATACGACTCCTCGTGGAGACCATTAATCATGCTAACAAAGTATCAACTACCTAATCGAAAGAAGATGTGATTAATCAGGCGTGCATGAGTGAAACAATTGGTGGCCAGTTTAGTTGCGAGAACCTGCCTGGTAAGCTGGAGGTTAAAGTCAATCTCCAGATGCGCCCCTTGATCATATTATGCTGTCTGGAATCTGTCGAAAGTATTTGAGTCCATTAATCCTAGATAACCTGATTAACTGTGATTCAAGTAGACGGAATGCGTCACACGTTTAGAAGGCAGGCCTACAGAATAAACGTACAACGTCCCCGGCTGTAACTTTCCGCACTGTCCCATTGTTTGGCTTCTGTGTAATGCAAGTACAGACTGCTGAAGTTGTGTAAGTAGTCGCAATAAATGGCGAGTACTTGCTATAGAGGAAAGTCAGCTACTTGTGTTTGCTGGAATTGATAGTTGCGAAGATCACGGATCCGCAGTGACAATCCTGTGCTGACAGTCAACAGCTTACCCAATCAATACCTCTCATCGAATAGGATGAGAAAATCATTAGGACAGACAGAATTCAATGTGAACGGACTCATTTCTCAATTGCTCTGTGTGAGGAACTAAGTTTAATTGTCTGGCAATAAGCGAACAGTGAATATAAATCTGATGTTTTCGAGGGATCCATCAGAATAATTTGTGTCCACAACTCCCAAAGTTTTTCGTGCACTGGTTCTGAACCAAAGTTACAGACGATTATCCATAGGCTTACGGCTTCGGTTCATACAACATTACATCGCCCGCATTTACATGAATTGGCCACGCGGAATAATGTAAAGAAAACGTTGAAAGTCAGTCAAATGACTCTTCAAATTTTCCAGAGCTGTGGCTTCTTCTACTTTCTCGAGGTGAAGTGTCTTGCTTCTGCTCAGCACTCGAAGCACAAGAAATTTTGCAAGGACACTCCCAGGTGCCTGCAAGTGTTAGGGTATGAAACAAAAAACAAACCAATGCCGGACACAAACACCGTTATAGAGAGTTCTCACCTCGGATCACTCTGATGGCTATTTGGACTTCTGAAAAACTAGTCTTATTTACTCAAGCTTGTATCTATTGGCCGACTAAAGAAGCATCACTCTGTGCGCCAAAGAACAGTAAACTGAATCGGCTTGTGTTTGCTTGCACATGTTTACCTACATCCGTAGCCCGTGTAAGCCCAGCTTCGTTCAGTAAACGCGTAACAATCACCACAAATAGTGAGTGCCACTCATTCGACAGCACATTCAACTTGGACTCCAACTTATATTACCACCATCACGCATAGTACCACTTGCCAAGAAAAGGTAAACATATTTGACTAGCATCGGAGGTGAATGTATTGCAGCAACATCAAATGCCCGTGGTGAACGCATCCCGATAATCACAACCGAACAGATAAACGAGTACTTGGTAATACAGTGTAACGACGCAGCCTTGGAGCGCTTACCTCCCCAATTATGTAACCATCCGGAATTCTATAGTTTAAATGAGATTGCACGATGCTTAGATTCCCCTCATCCAACCCTCACAGAGACATTTTCTCCGTACATGGTCGAACGCATTCTCTTGTTCAGAAGGTCATCACACTTTATCCCCCTTCCTTTGTCACATCTTGCAGATAAGACATTGGACTATCGGCAAATGAAATCTTTTATGAACAATAGGATGATTCACAAACTTGAGGCCTCACTCGAAACTTGCTGGTATCCTCCAATGGCCTGCATCTTAAGGTCAACATTCATGTTCAGTTTTGAGAGCGAGTGAGACTGGCGCACTGTTTATAAGCACACATAATTCCTCCATGGTATTGCATATCCTGGGTCCAACGTTAGAGACCAGACTGGACCAAACGCACTGAGCACCCGAAGCTTAGTTCCAAGCTGTTCAGGGTATTTTCACACACCGCAAGACCTCTTTCCCAACTGACTGCGACATCGGGAAATCTCTGTGTTCGTATTCGACGTTCGGCTACCCCTCTCACAACCAGCTGACCGATTAACTGCATAATCTTTATGGTTCCTACAGCTACTAAATTCACCAGTTCAAACCTGGATTCAGAGGGCTTTTCCTCAATTTACTATTTTGTGTCAGGTACTCTGTTTACGCTTGCGTAACTTGGTGAGTTGGATTTTAAGGTAATCGCAAAAGTACTATGCCAAATCGAGTATAGACGACATGCTTATTAATTTGGTCCAGTGCCTTGATCCTAGGTGTTCGATTATTGCACTGGCACCGCTAAGCTAAACTTAGAAGGCAATCCTGACGTAACTCTGACAGTTTCAAATTATTATCGTCGATTTTCAATGGACATTTAGCCCTGTGGGCGAAGCCAATCTGTTCTTTAGAGGTTGTGAAGACTGACTTCACATACAGCGCAAAATATTTATCGGAAACTTCACAGTCCCGCCAAACTACCAAAAAAACTAAAGTAGATCAAATGGAAAAATAATTTGCCCAAAGATTGAGCCTTCAATCTAGGAAGTTGCCACTGCGGAGGCCAGTCAACAAATGACCAGGCGATGCTCATTCCGCTTGGAATATAAACGAAATTCTCAGTTTCTCTTACAGACTGCCTTTATAGTTAGCGACCGGTCTCTTTGTTCACTAGGAACACGAGTTATGTAGAAGGATCACTCTAGTTAGAACGTCTCCTGACTTTGCTATTCATCTATTGTTGCCTGTGAAAACATACTCATATGTTGCACCATTAGCAAAAAGCTTGGCCGTTTTCTGCGTGTACTTACATTGTGAAAGACTACCTTCTCATCTAGATTTACCTGATAGAAAAAATATGTCCTTAGAATCGTACATTGATTACATTCCTTAGACAATTTTGCATGCGTAGAAGTGCAAATTTCACCAAAGCCAGTTGAATGGCTGATAGAAGCACTTTTGTAACAACCCAAATCAAACACCCCCCGCACACTACAACAGTTAACAACAGTGCACTTGCAGCTAGCTATGTGACTGTGCGCTGATATGTTGAAAAATGGATCACGGAGAACAAGTCCTTTGGTATGTGGCTACTCAGTTACTTATAGGTACTCATACAAATCAGATAAACACCAAGAGTTGTTTTCACCACAGTAGCGATCGACTCCTGACCGCAAAAATAAGTACATGATGAAATAGAGAGAAACAGAATGAAGCTGTGCGCTTCACCCGACATTCCATCAACACATATGAGGACGATAAAAACGTACAGTTCTAAACAGCTTGTTGGAAGGCTATCCAAATTTCTACACAAAGAGTCCATGGTACACTGAAGACACAATTGTGTTATTCAGTTAACAGTTAAATTAGCTGTTTCAAGTAGTTAGTCGCACTGACCAGATCAACCCCATTCGACTTAAAGGCAAAAAGCGTTGAGGGTAAAAATTATTAGAAATGCGTATGTTTAAGCAACAAGGCTAAAGAAGTTGGTATCCTATAGGTAAAACATAAGGGTAAAGCATCTGTGTATTCATACAGTCACTAACTTTCCTACTAACCTACCTTAGGATTGTAGAAGCTGACAAAACGTTAACTCTTCTAGGTAAACAGAGTGACTTGGCGAAAGAGAGCAAAAGAGAATACGCAGAGTTTATGTATTGTTGTACTGTCCGTCTTTTGAAGTGAGGTTCCCTTGACATACGCAGATGTGTGCAGGATACGACAATGACACAACAGTTTTGTCCCGCTAAAGTGACGAAGATATGTAATAGCTTGTCTAGATTAACTTGAAATAGACACAATCAAAAAGTTGACCTGGTTTCCTTTTGAGGGGTCCAGTAAGGACAACCGCTCCACCTAAATTGGGACAACCGCAACCGTCGACATGGAATACTTCAAATGCGTCCGGTGGACTAGTATTGGTAAGCTCTCCCTTTTGTATCATGGGTTTCAAATATCTATTGCAGATTGAGTCCAATTAGAATGAAACCAGCAGCCGGTACCTCTCCCCATATTGTCTGAACTGCTGAATATATTAGAAAAATCATAATCGTTTAAGAAATTCTCAGATTATACACGACGGATACAAACTTTGATGCAAATACTGCAAGAAACACTTAGAAGCTGGAAAAGTTCGGTGTGATGTTTGTTTTAGAACCGTTGGTAAACCACAACAAGGAGCGGAGTTCTGTTAAGACATTCAGGGTGTCTTCGAATTAATGATACTGACCCTGGGATACGCAAAGTTCCGTGAGCAACGGAGAAATCAACATCAGCCATAACGTCCGCTATTCAATAAGAAATCGGGCCATGAACTGGTCAAAGTGTAGGCACAAGGCCGGCCAGTTGCTCAAGTACGAGTCAGATCAACCACTCGATGAGGCTGATGAATGATTACCAAATTTACCTGCACTGGTGTGCGACAACCACTGCATTGAGGTTGCACCAATCCCACACAAGCACCGCAACCATCGTGCAACACCGCTACAATCTTCGGGGTGTTAAACGGATTCCACAATGCGTCCACTAAAGATATTTGTATAGTTTTGCCTCTGTAAGGTAAGAAGGAGAAAGATAAATTAAGGAAATGTTAGTAGAGTAAAGACTTGACTTTGTGTTCCTGGAGAGCATCGCTGTCTAACTGAAGTTGGTGTTTCGAAGCACATTCTGATCAACCGTCTCTGATTAAAGTCTGCGTTAAGTTCTAGATGGCAAACCGTCTGTGCGGAAAGTTTAGAAAAAAGTTCAAAATGTTTATAGATAATTCAACTCCCATTCGGACGCGCATTGTACACAGTTCCTCCCGGGTTCATGAGTTGCGGATTTCTGATTATTCCGAATATGGATATAACGCATATTTGCCTGCTGGTCGAAATAACTTTCACGATAGAACCCACAGGTAAAAACGCGATGTCTTGTAACCACAGACCGAGGATCGCTGGTTGGTTCCGCTTAAATGAGGTACCGATAATGTGTTATATTTCCCCGTCACATTTGTGTTCGTCAATCATACACGATATTCTCCGGAGAATGAAAAGCTGTCTGTCTGCTATACCCAAATCGGCGAATGTATGGTGTGTTAAGGAACCTCGGAAGTCAGGATGACCGATGAGTGAAAAGATATTACTTCATATTTGGAGTTTCGAATTGCCTGGGACTTCAAACGAGGTTTAGTACTTTCAGGATATGTATCCCCTCAGAGTCTTTTTACACGGTATTATGTTGACGAATGGGGGCCCCTTTCATCATTAATTCTCATCCTGGTGTTAACTAGAAATAGCTTCCGCTCCATTATGACGTCTATTAACTTAAGTTTTCGTTCGTCTAAACCAGTATTAGCTAGTCGTCAGCACTAGCCCGGGAAGTTACCTAGGCAAGACATTGAAATGACCCCAAGCCCCTGAGCTTGGTTTCCATGTTGTTCATTGGCTTCTCATCTACTCTCTCTCTCGCCGTAGCACGTTGTACTGTAGCGAATCCGATGGACTTGTTCTGTTTAGGTTCATGTTTTGTACCTGTTTTTTCAAGTTTAGACATGCGGAAGGCCTGTCACGCCCCTGTGGACATTCCCGAGTATCAGCCTAGAGATGTCTCTCCGATCACTGTATCACAGGCTAAACTGATCTTTGGCAGTACTGTTTAGCCATATGTGTCTTCTTGTGAAAGGCACGAAACTTTGAGCAATCCTACGCATACATTGTAAGTTCCGACTGCCTAGCCGTCCTCCCACTAGTTGACATGTAGCGAATTCGATGGACTTGTTCTGTTTAGGTTCATGTTTTGTACCTGTTTTTTCAAGTTTAGACATGCGGAAGGCCTGTCACGCCCCTGTGGACATTCCCGAGTATCAGCCTAGAGATGTCTCTCCGATCACTGTATCACAGGCTAAACTGATCTTTGGCAGTACTGTTTAGCCATATGTGTCTTCTTGTGAAAGGCACGAAACTTTGAGCAATCCTACGCATACATTGTAAGTTCCGACTGCCTAGCCGTCCTCCCACTAGTTGACATGTGTAGATCACTAACTGAACTCATCACTGGTTTTAGACCTGTTCCCTCTTTTCCACTCATCTGTTTAGACTGAACGAATGGCGTTCAGCGTAGTCCATAGGTACGGTTAGCTGTTTTTTACTGAAGTCCAGAGACAGTGTGATGGGTAAATCCCGAAAGAGGTGTCAGCTCAGAATTGCTAAGTCAAGTGTCAATAGTTAACTTAGGAGTATCGAACATCTGACAACTCTATCCTCCTCAGACGAACACAAACCCAAGCATTTGCTCGTCAGCTCACAAATCTTCGATCGGGAGTACTTATTGTGGATTGATTGATTTAGTCGTTTTGAATTAGAGTACTCAGGCAAAATGAATTTACCACCATCAGAGACCAAACACAGCATTGGTTTGAAAATTGTCCATGTTACAGGCGGAGTATTTCAGAGCAATTAACTCGTACTACACCCCTGTGCAGATCAGCGGGAGTCCACCTAACTGCTCCCATCCTTAGTTAAGAGTGTTGACTCCGATGGTAGGGAATCTCCTAAAAACACCTTTTTTTGAGAAATCAAAAGACCCTGTGATCCTGAATCCGATTTGGGACACATTCATAGAAAACAAAAGATGAGAATCCCAAGGTTTTATGGGCTGGTAGTTTTTATAAAAGCTTCATGGAGTCCACAAGACCTATAAAACTAAGAGACAGAGATTTTATTGCCAGGACAGAAGGAACCAATTAAAACGTTCTCTTCACTCATGAGAAAGACTTTAGAAGAGATTGCAGGACGCAGCTATATAGTCTGATAGGCCGTATTTTTTCAATCTATTGCTCGGCCCTTACATAATAAGTTTTTTCGTGGCAGCGAGATTGCTCTCCATGGTATTGCATGCCGTTGTACGTCTTGTTTATCTAAATTTAAGAGGTTCTATTGATAAGTTTCGTGAGCTTCTTGGGATTCCAAATGAACGAAATCCATCTGTATCCCTTCCTTAAAGAGATACTGGCTCATCAGTCGGATGAACCGGGGTGACTGGGCTTGTGATTTCAGTCTCAAAATGCAGACCTGACTGGCATTTCCCAAGAAGCAAAGCTATCTCCTCGGTTTGAGAAAGCCAGAGGAGGTGATGAGAAGACGCTTAGTTGTCCCTCCATCAAAACACCGATTCGAGATCTTCGGATGGTCCTACACGATGCTGACCATGTGCATCTTTTTTTAGTACGTTAGTCGGTGGGTCGTAGCTTCTAAGTAATTGTTCAGGAGCCATGATGCCGTAAGCTAGTTCGTTGTTGACTGACTTGTTTTATCATCAAATAACTACCGAAGTACACACAACCATTAACATTAGTCAGTAGTGATTTGTCTCGTTGGTCCACATTAAGCATGTATAAAACCTTCTCCATAGCACAATGCGACTCAATATTAACTGGCCGAATATGCAACTAGTCCACAATAATCCTTCACCAAAAGTCAACTCACTTGCGATCCGCGTCTAAGTGACGCTGTTGCAAGTTTCATCTTCAAACTTTTTAGTTTGATTAACAAAACCCTTTCGGAATTTCGAAAAGGTCAGGTCAGATCTGAGTAACCGGATAATCTAGCATCCATCGGGTAAACCAAACTTACACATTAACCAACAATTTTTTGTGAACCATCAAAAAAATTCACCCAAGGGGAATAGAGATCTCGGTCTCCAATGAAGGCCTGTCTGTTCAAGAAAATTAAACCAAAGCAGGCCTCGTGAAACATGCTGTTTTATGTTGTTCAGGATCCATGTTAGAAGATATATCTGTTTGAAGCCTACAGCTTTCACTATTAATAGAATTTGCATAAAATGGGTGAGAAATAGTGGTAAGCTGAATATGGGGTGGCATGAAACGTCTGATAAATCCTAGAAAGACGATTCATCGTGAAATGCACTCCTATCGTAGCGCGGTACATGCGCAGGTGAACATGACTTACTCTTTTACAATATTTTTCAGCTGTATATCTGATTGTTCTACTTTAACAGCACCAGCAACTATGGGTGGGACACGCTCAACCCTTGACGTGGACAACCAGGCCTGAACTTTAGTTCCTACTATTGTCACTGAAGCTGTACTCAATGGAGAAGCCGGAACTTGTCTTGTTCTCCTGCCACGCTCTGCTGAATCGTACGGTAGGATGCAGGTTCTCCCAGTAGTAAGCCTGAAAGATAAGTAGGCAGGATAAACAGCGATGACTTCTCATGAAATTTGACCGCACGCTTGCTGAACAACCATTGGAGGTATACAGTGCACATATGTGCCATATACTTCAAATTAATGTCAAAACATTTGCAATAAGGTTTTCGAAATTGGTTTGGATATCTAATGATGACCAGTGTAACTCAATCTGACCGGGGAAAGAAAATAAATCCCCCCACTTGCTGTTGGTCTGACCAATGAGCAAAAAATATGATATGAATGAACGCAGCTTTTATTGGACTCTCCCAAAAGGCTACGGTCGACAGGTTTCAATCTGTTTGTACGCCTGCAGATCACAGCCTCACAGTTATCTCTAAGTTCAACGCTCTAGACTGTCTGAAGATGGCAAGCGGGAGGAGAAGGAACATGTTGCCCTTTTTTGCACAGCAGATGAACATGACTTGGACCTTTCTACACATGTTCAAAACTAAACCTGCAATAATCACCCTGCACCCAACAGTTTCTCTATCTAACGAGCACTTTGATGTGATCAGACGACTTCGCGAAGCGGTATCACATAAGAGTGTGGTGATCCGCTTGAAATATTACCACTCACGACAGAATGGCTTCTTAGTTGAAGCCATGATACCTATTTAATCACTTCTTGAAATAAAGCATTTTTGTATTTGAACATTTGGAAGCCGTATTTTTTCACAACTTTAATTGAAAAGTCAGAGAGGACGGACCATAAATCCCTTACCCGAGTCCCCAGAAACTAAAGCGCTCATCGCACGTAGTTTTGGACATTAAATATATGCTATCTCACGTGCCGTCGATAATGACTATGTTTAAAAGGACATTGCAATCCCTAAATTTGTATGAATTCCAACGTGCTGCTCTCGCACTTTCTTAAAATAACATTATTGCTGACATCCGGAAAATGCACAGTTTCCGATAAAGATTCTACAGCTTTAGTGAACATTTTGCACCTAAGAAAGATTACCTCCTTCAGATGGGGAAAACCCTACTCATGGTGGGCTTACTGGAATATAAAATACAAAAATACGAAAGCTTTGAACAAAACCGAGACAGCCTCAGGGTATGGATACCATTTCTTTACACGGCCGGGTATCAGTTGTTTGGGGAAATACTTACTCTCGGTAAAAGACGTCCACTGCGGTTACGGGTGAGCTTACTTCCCAACAGAACTTGACCTCACCCACTGTGGTACCGGCAGGGCATACTCGAAAGTTTTTCAGCTTAGCTGTCGGCGACGAATCACCTAAAGAACAGTTAAAACACTAACATCATTATCTTAGATTTTGATGTTTTGCTTTCGTCTAAACGAGGCGATAAGTCATATAATTCTTTACCAAAGAAAGACAAAATGCAGCTGAAATTGCACTCCAGAGTCCGTGCTACAAACAGACCGGGCTTGCTACCGAAGATTTATATATCTGTCGACTTTGTGTCCTAAAGATGAAACAAATTCCAACAGTTGCAGTGAAATGCTACCAAGTTTATTACGGTCGTTAGTGTGATCGGCTGCATTGTCAGATGATACACCACCGCCGACTAATTTTCTTATTCATAACGGTTACCAGACTGGAAAAATACACTCATTTGCTGGCTGATTTGTTTTTCACGAATCCCCAGCCAAACCTGGCTGAATCTCTTCTTTATGCTGTTCTTCAACTGAATATGTTACCGGAATGCTGTCCAATATTTTAACTGGTATGGCGTTCGAGATACCGTAGTATATTTTCTTGACAGGAAATATGTTTACAGAAAACTCTTTGAGCACCCACTGATCGGCTTCGCCCTTCTTTGGGTTCATCATGTAGGTTCAGTTTACTAGTTGGCATCAACGTGAGGTTTTAATTTACACATCACAAACGAGACATTCACTCTTCCGTTAGAACCAAGTGAATGTATTTAGCCAATCGCATACAACTTGGCTTCAAGAGAACTCAGGACCCATCTACCTGATAAGCACCAAGAAAAACAAGACTGGTATCAGGCTGTCGAACAGTTTTCAACAATGGTATGGGCAAGTTTCCATCAAGACCTGCCTCTATAACTGTATATTTCTCTGTTTTTCAGGACAATCACCCTAAAGGAACAACGGAACCAGACGCCCTAAGGGTGGTCCTTATGAGACGAACCGGTGATTTTTTTACTGCTCATCATTTGACCTAGTAGTTCTGGTGCTTGCCCTTGGGCACCAGATATGCCGTGGTTATTATTTCATTGGAGATTGCTTTGAATCACACAGTAAATATAACACCTTTGCTTCAGAGTCAAGCCGAGTTTTGCAATCATCTACAACAGCAGAAAGGTGATGTGCCTAATCAACCATTCATTGTTATTACGTTCCTTTCTTCTGCTTTGAAGAGCATTGCAAATGCACTATGCTGAGTATGAAGCAGCTAGAGATGCTGGTTCTTTAATTGTACAGTCTTCAAAATCTTTACATGCGTCACCTGAAATCAAGCAAACAGCAAACCGGAACGATCAAAATTAAGTCACAAACGACGTACGAGTTCGTGGTTGAATGTGAGGCATATACTGGTGTGACTCAGCACCAGGTAGGTAACAAAACAGCAAGGACTTGTAACATTCCCCCTTTAGCTGGAGGTCAAATTAGTGACGGACCATTATCCCCACCCAACTACACCGAACGGAATCTTCTACAAAAAGCAACGCTAAACGAGAGTTAGCTTTTCGAAAGGCGATACAGACGATGGTGCTCTGGTATTTGTTTACGGGTTTGTCCGTTACACCAAACCGCGCCAAAGGATCCTCTCGTGCAACAGATGCTGCCACGTAAACTGAATCACATCCATGGAAGCCCCATACCCGAGATAAACACACGGGATAAGACAGGAGGGTTAACTAGATGCAGCAGCTCTAGAACCGTCAGCATGCCAAAACGATTGCTACGGGTTGTCAAATTAGGTAAAGACAGTTTCAGAGTTTAGATACACAGTACATGCGAAAGTTTGTTCGGTGGTCCAAATTACTCATAATATCCACCAAGTGCTTACGCGTATGTCTAGCTATTGTTAACCGTTATTTATTTTAGTCCGTACCAAGAGTACCAGGTCTTTCCAGAGTGACAGAGTGGGTCATTTAGACCTACACATGGAATAAACGTAATTAAAGTATAGTAAAGCATAAAGCAAAGTATTACGGTAAAATATGATACAGTGTGTGCTGAATAAGTTGGAGATAGCGATGGTAACACACGGCAACCTGGCATCCCAAGTCAAGGTCTCCCTGTGCCAAATCACTTGAGGATTCAAGGGGCTTGGGCAGTGGTATCTCCCCGGTAGAGAGCAAAGGATTTCCACTACAATAGGTAGGAACAAATGGTTTTACCGGTTTCGTTGTACAGCGGAACATGCTCAAACCGAGGTTCTGTTTTACTGCAGATGTACCTGATCTCCAGCCGTGGTGAAATATCCGCAGAAATGTGCATGCATCTTCTGCTTGGGCAGAGACCGAATGTTGGGGGTGTTTTGTTTTGACAGTCTATTAGGCCCAACTAACTCACCGTATACCCCGGAAGGCCTGGGATAGAAAATCAAGATTTGATATTGGTGCGTTCGGAGCAACGTATCAGCTTTGGTTGTCATTAGCTTATTTGCACTTTGAGATGCAACAAATATAGTACAAAGCAACGAACTGATCGGCCATATAGACTATGGAGGAGTAGGTTCAGGATTACACAAAAATTTGCCATTTGAAAGGCGTAAAACGTCGTTTTTTACACCACACAGTTTCCGTTTGAGCCTTGAAGTTCAACCGAAAGGGGCACTTTTTGTCAATAAGTGACTACACGAGGAATTCAGACTAGAGGATATATCCATACATATATACGTGAATGTGTACAAATGGAAGCTATATCTATTTGGTGGCATACCGTCCATGCGTAGATTCCGGGCATCATCAAAATGCCCATCCACGCCATTCTAAGGGATTCATAGTAAACAATCGATCTTTGTGTTCCTGCCATAGTTACTGTTGTGGTTGGCTAATGGTTGAAGGCAAGGCATAACTTTCACCAACTGTGTACCCAGAACGCACACAATCTGTTACATACACTGAGAAATATGCCACCACAATCCATTTGGCTGCAAGGACTGTAGCTACTTGGTATAGAAAAGTGGATTTAGCTTTAAATTTGGTGGTAAATCTCCCTGTGGACTTGCATTTCCGACTTTACATTTCAGTCTACTTAACTGCCCGAAGCTTTGATAAATTGGTTTTTCTAACTTGGTGGTGTCGAACATGATTAAAAGTGACTTTTTGTGACTTTCGAACTAGTTTTGCCCAGTGACCAGCGGTTATGCGAGAGAGGGGCCTTCAGCTTAAGTAACTTGCCCCTCCTAAGCCGCCCTGCATCAGCTGCTTTAGCGTATAGGAGGAAAAGAACGCCCTTTTCCGAAGCCCTTAGTGCGACGTCTGTTTTCCAGTTGAAAATGACAAACATACTGTCTCATGAGTAGTTGAAATCCATTTAAACCGTCGTAAGAAGAAGCTATGACAAAACAGCACTTGGACTTCAATGAATTGTTCACCCTGCATAGTCGAATCGAGAAAGTTTTTATTCGAGTAATCTGTCTTTACTTACTTATTGTAACAAAGCAAACAGTCGCATCAGACCCTACAGATCTTATTTCGTTGAAGCACGTCACTTTGTATACCTCACCAACATCCAGGTCAGGAAACTTTATAGACGTGGATTCTGATTGTCTGTTAACCTGTCGAACAGTGGAGACAAAGTGAAGCGGAGAAACTGTGCCCTTAAGGATTGATCCTGGAGGTGCCCCGTTTCGATTGCATTCAATGACTTGATTGCTGACACTGATTGAAACTGCATTCGTGGTGTTGGTGCATGAATGGATCTCGGAATACGCAATATCTGATAAAAGAGCTAAAACAGTCCATGCTAGTAAATAGCAACCCATCGCTGTCTTTGTGAAATATTATTCCACTTGGGACTGCAGAAAACAAGCTGAAAAATAAAAGGACCATTATTGCAAGTGGAAATGATATGAGGCTTTCGCCAACTGCGAATCAATTACTGTGGATTCACGAACATCACGTATTATGCTCAAGAACGTAGTTCTATTATAGACAGATACACAATTAACCGGTGCAAGGCTGAGACAAAGAGTGAATGAACGAATGAGTGAATGAATGAATGAATGAATGAATGAATGAATGAATGAATGAATGAATGAATGAATGAATGAATGAATGAATGAATGAAATGAATAATGAATGAATGAATGAATGAATGAATGAATGAATGAATGAATGAATGAATGAATGAATGAATGAATGAATGAATGAATGAATGAATGAATGAATGAATGAATGAATGAATGAATGAATGAATGAATGAATGAATGAATGAATGAATGAATGAATGAATGAATGAATGAATGAATGAATGAATGAATGAATGGATCTTTGGATGGATGCATGGATTGTTGGAGTATGTCGCCTACTTTTGTCCTTGTTTTCCGTATGACTGGCGGATTTCTGGTAATCGAGGTTCTGCCTGGGATAAAGGAGGAGCCTGTTTTCTGCAAAATGATAACGATAACGTCAACCAGTCCTACCAGCCTCCAAGTTTTCCCGTTCTCCTTAATGATCCAAGACTGTCGCTAAAGTTCACTTCGGTCACGCTACCCTTCCTGCACTGTGTAGGGCATAAAAGTGGCAAAAACTTAATAGCTATGTTTGACCGGAAACCCGAGGATGAGCACATAGAATTAGGTTGTTCTTGATCAGGACAAGCAGGTACTGATTCACAAATATAATGCAGAGTGACCGACCAAAAACGCCACAAACTAGGGTTGAAATATAATTTATGGAAATGGGTATTAAATAAAATTAATAAAGCAACACCACAAATAGGTTTTTTTCATCATGAAGGTGGAAAACCAAGTGAACTGAGAGGATGGTTATCCCACGAAATACAAGGAAATCCAAACTTTTCACACATTGCTTGACTTGCTTAACGTTAGACTAGCATTCCCTAAAGGCAACACTTTACGTTCAATAATGGTATCACTTCTCATTGATGGCCTCTTGTAAACTAAATTGGAAGTAGCAGCCAAGGAGCTGTACATCACAAGCAGTAAGCGTCAAAGTATCACCAGCGAACCATCAGGAAGCACGGTTGAAAATTACGCGACAGTTAAAGAAACTGTGATAGGGTGTAAATGGTGCTGGGTGAATTCGGAAAATGTGAGGGTTACAAAGTAGAGAACGATTCTCATCCAAAAGCTAGGACAATAGAAATTGCCAAATATTTCTTTGTGAGTGGAAGAGAGTTTAAAATTGGAAACCCACAAAGAACAGTCATTGAATAACCCAGTGGATCACTGTGCGGATTGTGACGGTATGCGCTTGTCGCTGATGCATAGTGGTTCTAGCCGCCGAAATTACATTTCTTCCCCAAACTTAGCCGTCCATTACATTTCCTACCCAACCTAGACGAGTCACACTTTGGAAGATCCACTGGATACTGGTCACCTTAAGTTACCTGGCCCGAAGGTATTGCTTTTTAGACCCCAATATCTGACATTCTGTAAGCCGCAGTCGCGCACACGATCTAAGAACTTTTAACGTACACTGAACACAATCATTTGAAAGAGCTTTTCCAAATCTGTGATTGTTTGGCAAGATTAGCTTTAACTTTTTGGAGGAAAAGCAATGACATTTGTGCTTCTTATATTCTATATATTCACCAGTGGTGCAGCGTTCAAGTTGCAGACCGGAATCCATCCAAAAATGACCAAGTGTGAGTTTGGTCACATATCTGTTGTTTTACTGGCTGTGCTTTTGGGTCTGTTGCGTCATACTTGTTCTAGTAAAGTTAGCACATATCGAGGGTTTATCCAAACCCAAAAAGCTCGGAAGTCAAACGTCTAAAAAGTAAGTTGCTGAGGTAAGTGCTACTAGGAACTGGGAAAACAGACAAAAGCAGGGTTAGTACAATAGGAAAGATTTGGCGGCATTTTAAGACAGGTGGGAAACGCTCTTCTGTCAAACCGCATGTTTCTATGCAAATCTAATCCAATATCAATGCCAATACCCATTGGATGTTTGATGTTCTTGGTTCTTCTCTTGCCGGCACCCGCAGAAAATCGGTTTTCCAAAATCTGTGCTCCCTTGACGTTTACTTTCCGAGCTTCAAGGGCACAAAACCTAGTTTTTAAATACCAAAACGCCGTATCGGTTTAATTGCCTTTATACACCGCAAAAAACATTATCAACGAAACTGGTCACACGATCTGGGGCGTTTTGAATTGCAAGACAGCGGCTCCCATTGTGATACCAAGGAGGTGGCTGAAGAATTGTATGGTGCTTACAAAAAACTCAAGGGCGATTCTATAAAACGTAGAGAGTGGTGAGTAAACTTTTATGGTTGAAAAAGTGAAAACATAATGTTTTGGACAAATTCAGCAAGGTACTATTACTCTTTGCTACCGCTTACTTCTCTGAGCTCGCCAATATCGCAGCCATATCTTTGGAAAGCGGAAAAGACCGACAAATCCCTGACAATTTTGAGACACTAATGTCGTCTTTTAATCAGTGTTTTCCAAGTATTTTCATGTAAACTGTTGCCATTAGTATCACAAACAAAAAGCAGCGAAGCCATTTTCAGGGGCGAACTTCACCATTTCCCATCTATAATGATCGCTCCAACGAGGGTGTATGGCATGGCCTAAGGCCTCCATGTCTTTAATACAATCCTATCTGCGCCCCGCCATTACGCGCTTGCAACACCCATGTAGAAATCGCCCGTCAGGTCGGTTAATTACACTTCCATCTGATGATTCTTATGGTCTTGCCAAGAAGAATACTCCTCACGCATGATGCACAGAAGATCCGGTGAATCTGAGTGTCCTGTTGTAGTAAATCAAGAGAATCACTTTTGAACCTCTCATCAGGAATTAGTTTGAAGCTAGTTATTTTTCTATGCAATTGTCTGACAAAATAAAGGCGGACAGGCACACAGAAAAATGGTTCTGTGTACTCCTACTTCACTTGAATTAAACCAGTGAACCTGAATCGCTAGTCTCTGACCCTTCACCTATAGGTGATGTTAGCTAACGTAGGAGCAACCGTTTACTCGGCTGGTGTAAAACAATATTGTGGGATGTCCATGGAGTATAAAGCTGCGTATAAAGATTAAAATACTGGTTACATTGACCTACACTAGAAAATACTTAAAGTATGGATTAGGCGGCCGCAGAAATCCCGGTACTTGATAAGGTTTAGTTACAGGTTATCATCCTGGGTTTGACAGATGGCGGGAAGTGAGACTTATTCCTGTTTACCCCTCAGTAAATATTTTTCAAGATGACTCTTCCCAAATGTGCCACGGTTTTTTAATCCGCTTGCCACGACGTGAAGCCTGAAGTTAACTGTAATATTCCTACTCACATTATAGCCCTGAGTTCTATATGGAACTGGGATGGTTTCCTTCTAGCACTCAGCATGCTACAACTGACGAGAATCTTTCTGAGCTACTGCAGCTAAATTTCATTGCACGCCTTGATTGCTCATTTATATAGACGTATCAGTAGACACTTGATAGAACCTCTGTCTGTTGAAATCTTCGTTTGCATCTGCCTCCTCGTCGCGCAACGTCTGCATGTATAAAAAACGTTGGTTGCCATGGCGGTTTATTTCTTTGAATGACCCTAAAGAAAAATGGTAAGTTAGCTCGGTGCCTTCTTATTGAAAGTGTAGAAATCTTAACCATTTTGAGCCGTCGCTTGTAAGACAGTTCCCGAACCTAGATGCCTGACAAATCTACCCGCCTGAGTTGACAATCCACACCTTAGACGGTCACCCCTAACTTACTTCCAGCCAGAGGAATTGAGGCTCTCAAGCAAACAGCCTAAGACTGTATATGTGAAATGTCTTGGTGAGCATTCGCAGTATCGTAACTCATTAATGTTGGTAACTAAGATATTGAGTGCATTTTAAGGCTGTCCTTCATGAACGCCCTCACGTTTCATACCCTCAAAAACACTAAAACTGTCTTGCCGCCGAGGCATCATTTCTCGGTATTATGCTCGCAGATCACTAACATAGGTTCAGATTTTTTAAAGTCGATGGTCACTTTATATTCTCTGCGTCGATCAATCAACCCTGCTAGAAGTAATCACCCTTTAATTCCAAGTAGCCCTCATTCATGGCCGTACATCTTCAGCAAGCAACAGACTAATTGGACAAGGTCAACCTGATGACGAATCTACTTAGGCAGTATATAGTTGAAGCCAGCGAGCTGCCCCAGGTGCTCTCCTATCTGCAGTCTATTGTGGTTCATATTACTCATCATTTGCTCATAGTTTGTTGTGCAGTGCCTTCCATTTGCTTAAATAAATAATAATAATAAACTAATAATAAATAAATAATAAATAAATAAAAATAAAAACCATTGCAGTGTACATAAACTGACATAATTATGTTAGTGCAGAAGTTCTGCACAGATTCCGCACAGGTTCTGCACGCAGGAGCGGACGCGTGCTAACTCGGAAGGTGACAATATTATACAGCAGGTTCCTTATACTAGGCCACAAAAACGGTAATAGTGATATTCAGATGTAACCTTACATTGGTTTATGCGCACTGCAACAGT